GGCGTGGTCGCAAGTGGTTAAATGCTTAGATGTCTGCAAAGAATTTGTCGCCGAGAGCCGTTGAGAATGGATTTTCCATTTCCAGTTGCTGTCACGTATACGTAATATGGCCGATGGCAGCGCCCGAAAGTATGCACCACAAAAGGGGTAGTTGTTTGGCGGGCGACGGGTGTTTTTTGCGGGGATGGATGTTGATAAATGTTTTTAGTTCGCCCACTTTATCGGTCGGCTGATATGAAAAATGGGGTATTGATAAATGGCATATTGTTTTAGTTACCGAAAAGTTTTTCCAAGTTTTTCAAACAAATTATGACGAATGCCAGACATTCTTTTTCACAGTCCGAGGCGATTTATTTGATATTAACATTGTCACAGGAGTTAATCTAAAACTAGAAAAATATACAATATTTCTTGAAAGTTGTTAAATGTTAAATTAGAATAGCTAAAGAAAACAATGTCTTTCGTCTGTTTCCTGTTTGTCCTACAAGTATGCCGCACTATGGAAGCAGCTTAGGCAGTTGTAATTACGCTTACAATCAGCAGCTAATAAACCTCGAAGCAGCCATTAAGCGCAATGACTGCTTAAAGCGTTAAGTTCACCAGCACACACACATACACACACACACGCACTACCAGAGATATGGCCACGTTATCCTTTGTTGTTATTGCTGGCGACGCTCCTTTGGCCAGGGTCACATTTAATTGTGCACCATGTTCAACAGGCCATTGTACATGCGTATTAAATGTAATTAACTCATTATAAATGATAACGTGGTCGCAGAGATACGCCTCAGGTATGTCTCAAGCCGAGTGCCGAAGAGTGCCCGTCCCGGCGTCCCAAGGACGAAGGACATGGCCAGAAGGCGAAGCGACTTTGCCACGCGGCTGTCACAGCTAATTTAGCCGGTTCAGCCAGCAGAACAAACGTGTTGGGTTGCCACCGTGCTGGGGGTAAATGCGGAATTATTACCGGAAAAGGACAATGAGCCGCACTGGCTATTATTTAGACGGGGCCTCGCAGGACTAGGATTTCCGGCCCTGGCCCCTGTCGCCAGAACCAGGTAATAAAAACTCTTTTATGCGCTCGAGTGTGCCGCGCCCTGTGATATTTGCTTGGCCCCTCGCATTTGCCCGCCGTTGGTTTATTATATAGTTTGTCTCTCGCCTTATTTTCACGCTCTTGCCACCTCGAGGCAGCCTTTTAATTATGTAGCACGCGCCGCTTAAGGGGTGTTGCCTTACGCACTTCGGTGTCTGCGGCACCTTTTGGCGTCACACACATTTTCCATTTTCCCCAGCAGCTCTGGCCGGCCATTTTCCGCTTTTCCGCACTTCCGCAGGCCAGTTGCGTGTTCTCCACGTGGTGACATAGCGTAATTCGGATAAAGCGAGCCTACTGATAAGTTTAATTGGCGGTGAGCGCTGGTTTAAATGGTGACAAAGCGTTTTCATTTGGAATATCCATAAAAAAATATTAAATTATTAATTGGCAAAAGCATTGCTAATATTGTTTAGCATAGCTGCCAGCAGACGGATTTAAAAACATGATAGACTATCAAAAAATCAAGGAAAAAACATAGCTATAAGCTTTTTGAAAGGCCAAAAACCAGGAAAAAGTAATTTATTTCTATAGGCATTAGTTGATTGTTGGGCTTAATAGAAATATAGGCAAAGTAGCGAACCTTTCTTATTTCAGTGTATCAACCAAAATTTTGTTTAAGCTTTGTACCGATTTCTCTCCAAAAATATGGTATAAAAATATATATGAGGTAAATCATATGTCAGCACAGTTTTGCTAGTACTACATCATGTGTTAAATGTTTGAGAGGCATATGCTTAATAAATGTATATTTAGCATATGCCTCTTCAAAATTTAAAACATCAAAACATCCATGAAATCGATAAATTTTAAAAGACTGGTGAATATACTACGTGTTAAACTTTTATTTTGAAGCAGGTGTATATTATTTAAAACTTTTATAATGTTAATTCAAGCTTTAAGGCAATTAGAGATATGTTTTATTGGCAAAGTACTCGGAGTAAATGGTGACAAAGCACTTTCATTTTTCAAGCGCAAATCATCTGTACGTTCTTCTCGTCGAAGAACTCCATTTTCCGAATGAAAGTCTTTAAAAAATCTTGAAAATTCAATTCAAATCTTGAAAACAGCGAAGAGTCGAGGGAGAAGACTAACTGCCAACATTTACCATCAATAGCCGCATTTGCTTATATCAAGTGAAAACTTTCTTATCGGCAGCACAGCGGCAACTTCAATGACAAATTGAGACAGCGTTGTGGTGGTGCAGCAACGGGGCGAAAAGAACCAAAAGTTGGCTAACACACACAAATACACACAAACACACACACTCGCACAGATATAGATTGGCTTGTCGTTGTGACAACTTGCCACTTTGAGCACGTAAATTTCTGTCGTTTCTCGCCTTTTGAATTGATAAGAAAATTCATAAAATTTCCTGCAATGGCAATGGCAATGGCAAAAAGAAAAAGTAAGTGGAAAGTGGAAATGGAAGTGGAAGTGGAAAAGGGGGGGAAAACGGGGTGGGCCAGTGGCAGAAAACGCAATCCAACTCAAGTGTGTCAGCAGCCGTGAAAGTGGTATTTGAGCCGGGCTGCAAACTTTTGCTGCCAACTTGCTAATCTAATGAACAATTGTGGCTGCCGGCCACCTTTAACACCTCCTTGCCCCAAGGACGAACTCTGCGTGAGCTCCGGCACCTGTGCCAATGGCAGCCAACCAACCAGCCTGCCAACCAACCAGCCTGCCAACCAGCCCAACTTTGCGGACTCCAAATGCACGGAGATTAAAACGAAAATTAAGCCCGATCCGGTATGTCAAACGGGTCTTTTTTCTGGGACCTCCTAATTGAATTGGCTGTCGACGGTTTTCGGCAGGAATTTAATGCAATTTGGACACTTTTTTAAATTTCAAGCAAAGTTTGCAGACGACGAGCACAAACAAGTCAACAGTCAACTTAATTGTCATAATTTGTGTTTACAAACTTGACGAATTTGCTAAAAAATAGATGTGCAAAAAAGTGAGTAGAGGCCAAATGAGGATGCTGCTGGGGCATATGTGGCCAGCTGGCTGAGTAAAGTTTTCTGCACAAAACAAGCTAACAAAAGGCCAAAGCAAATAGAACAGAAGCGGCAGCCAGCAACAAGGATTCTGCTGTGGCAAGCGAAAGCCGAGCACAAAAGAAACCCGGCCAGGAGAAAAAAGGAGTATTGTAGCTTATGGTTGGTCTACGGCATATTACTACCCTGCAGTTTTCGTATCGAAAACTAGCGTCCTACAAAACGGAAATAAGGATAAGCGAAACAAAAATATATAGAGGCAGTACAGTGCATTTTATATTTGATCATTCTAAGCCATTTATTGTAAAACCAAGTTTCATTCAAAAGTGAAATAAGAGCATTCACGTTTTCAATCTTCCAATATTCGAATAATTCAAAAAAGACTGAAAACATTGGTTAAAGCTTAAAATTCTTGAAATAAAAGTAGTAACAAGCATTTTGTTAAATTCCCTAACAGAAATTATTAGGGTAATTAAGAATAGAATTATAAAAAATTATACTGGATATACAACAAATAAATTATTTGCTTTCCTTATATTTTTAGCAATTTTAAATTCTTGAATTTCTAAACAATACAACATAAACTGATGGGTGTCAAAATATTAACACCCTTAAAGTGGAAACCCTGAACTAAAATTGGACACTTAGTGCTGGCATGAGGGAAAACGACGGCAGAAGACAAATAAAGACTAAGCAAATAAAATCTAATAAAACCAAGGACACAAAAACTTGAGCCAAGCCGGCGAAAATGAGCTAAATGCTGCTGAAGGGAGTGGCACGGACTTTGGCAACGGCCGAGATTGTTAGGGCGAGGCGAGAGAGCAAATGAAATAAAGTGCCAGAAGTATGTTTCATTAGCGGCAGTTGCAAACCAGACAACAAACAAAGCAAAGGACAATGGTCGGCCAAGGACACATGCTCCAGTGAAGCTGCTTGATGAACTTCGTACAGCCGGCAAGCAAACGAGGGAAAAACATGCCACCTTCCGTCGACGGAAATTCTTATTTACTCTCCAATTCGAGTGGTCTTTTATTCCTATATGACTGTAAAAGCCAACAAAAAAATACTTGGATAGTCTTCAAAAATTTATATCAGCCTTTCTATAAGATCCTATGGTGTTATATACTTGAAAACTGCTGACATCATAGCTCAACTATAAATTGACCGATTGGTTTGAAATGAAGACCCAATTATCTTAAATGTTATATCTACAATGACCTACGAACTTTGGGATTGGTGGAAAATTGCCTATTTGACAGAATTTAAAAGGTAGTTATTTAACGCCGAAAAACGAAAACATTTAAAAACGTTCTAAAAAAAAAAAATTCTTTGTTTGCAAAGATTGCCAGATTTTTCGTGGGTTACACTTTTCTGTCATATGGAAATATTGTTTTTTGGAGAATTATGTCTTCTATTTTCAGCATATTTTATATGTTACGTTTTTTATTCCACTTTAATTTTGTGTGATCCTCTTGAGCAGTACCTGTTGCAAGCCTTTTCGGTACTAAAACATCCGCAGGGCTCCATCTCCGGAATGACAAGATGGCATATTCTGGTTTCATTGTTGAATATCCAAGTGTTTTCCTCATGACAAAAGGGTTCGTCTCCGCGGCATTTGCATAACGCTAAAGGGGTAACATATTTAAGGCTCCGGTGTAATGCAAAATGTACATGTTTCACTTACTACTTCTAAGTTCGAAAGCACTTCGATGCAACAAATTGCATAGGCTAAGCAAAAGCAAAAAACATTTGCTTAAGATATACATAGTATTTCCCACTGTTGCAATGAACACTTTTGTATTATTTTAATTTCATATATAGCTCTTAAAATTTGACATGCGGGTACCAAAGAAAAATCAATTTTCCACAGCTACAGAATAATTGAGATCAAAACTCGTTGCATATTCTTCTGCAAGCTGCAATGGTTTTATTTGGGTTTGTTATATAAACAAAATACAAAGAAGGCCCATTTGAAAACATTATAATGTATTCATCCGATATTTCTTTTTGGTCGCCGATTATCCCTCTTGCTCACAGGCGGAACTTCGCTGTGTGCTCTGCAGAAGTCCTTGCAACCTTTTTCGCCATCGAAAAAACCACATGGCTCTTTACCCTGATGTACACGATAACATTTGCGAGTTCTCTCATCGAAGCCCCAAGTGTTGTCTTGATAACAATTTATTGATCCGCCCGTTCGCCCACATAGCTCTTTATCAAAATGAACGTGATTTGAGATTTCTTATGAGTTAATACACTTTACTTACTATTATAAATAGGACTTTGAACATGGTATCCAAAGGTCAAATTGCATAGAGCGAGCACAACAAAAACGCTTCGTCTCTGCATGGTGACTGCTAAAATAAAGTAGAAATTAGGCTAAATCCATCATTAATAAATTCGTCAAGGTAATTTAAGCATACTCCTTAAAATTATTTTAAATATTCATTTATTTTAAGGCAAAGTACGGACATATTTTTCTAAGTTAGATAATGTCCAAGACTCCTTGGTGCATATTTTGGTGCATGTTTCCATTTTGTAGAAGAAACCACAAGGCTCCATTAGATAATTGGTAAGTACACACTTCTTCATTTCCTTGTTCCAATAATATGTTTTCAATTTCTGACAGGAAGGTCCAACATTTGGCTTAAAGCACAGCTCTGGAACGTTTTGTGAGCGAAGTGGCTTTAATTTTTATCAAACTAAAGAGCTAGTACTAACCAGTTATTACGTTATCTTCCCCCATATTACACTGGCACACCAATATCATTGAAAACCAGATAATTATCTTCATTTTCTTGAAGCTGTGTCAGTTTAACCAAATGAAGAATACCGAGTCTTTGAGGAAAATAAGCTGAGCATTCATAAGCAAAATAGAATTGGCCAATAGATTGTTTATAAATTCACCGTAAAATTAAGCGTGTTTTTTTGCATTTACCATAATTACATTATTCATAGTAAGATGTAATTTATAAAACTTTGGCAGACTATAGAAAAAGCATCGAATACGAAACGAGTCTAGGAGTTAGGAGTTAGTGCTTCAGCGATTGGTGAAAATGTATCTTAATGCAAGACAATTTTAATTTGTCAAACAATGGCAATTTAATCTTATTGCCGGCACGCAAAGTTCGGAAATGTAACAATGGCAAAAGAGGCGGCAAAAAAAAAACAAATAAAATTCAACGCGAAATGCCGCAAGTGCTGTCATAAATTATAAGCGATGTTATAATGGCCTCAACGTCTAGTTTTCACATTGTGCTCACTCTTCTGGTTCTCTGCGTTTTAATAACATTTTATATATGAACGGAGCGCCGAGTCACGATATTTCAATTACGCGCTCAGTATGAATTGTGTGCCGAAAACCAAATTAAGCAATGAGAAATCATTTTTAAAATTACGAACACATATATAGTGTTAAATAGAGAAAACGAATAGTCAGTTGGTTCGGTCCTATGCTCTAATATGCACAAATCGCTTAATTAAATCATTTCATTGGCAATAAGATTGGGGAAAATCTACTCAAGCAAATAAACTGTCAGGCCCAAATCATATTCAAAGCACTTTCAAACTAACATTTTACAGATCGCTAACAATTTTCATCTATATTAATCTTCATTAATCAAACGCACACGCACTCGCAGCACTATAAACACTTCTTGAATGGTTGATTAAAATGAGCTTTTAGGGCTTAGCCAGGATAATGGACTGGAGAAGTAGGCCAAAACTAAAACTCTACACAATTATGCAAGAAACATTGGGGATAAATTTGACAATAACTCAAGCAAAAGAAAATTTGTGTGCGTGGGCTTATTATGTATGCTTGAATACATTACTGCTTATAATTTATTCTGTGGACTCGTAATTCGAAAATTATATGTGTGGCTTTAATTGCTCAGTCACTCAGTTGGACTGAAAAGTAGCCCATAAATAGAAGCCTGGATTCAGTAAATGTTTGTTGAAAGCTTTCGTTTGGTTTTCCATATGATTAGCATTCATGTTGATAATTAAGTTTTAACTTATTGTAATTAATTTGTTTATTTTGACGTACGTTTATATCTCAATGGCACAATGATTTACTGATGTTCGGTATATTAAATAATATATTTTGCTGCTTGCTTAAGTCGGAAAAGCTGTTAACTAAATAATGTATGAACGACACCCACCATACTAACATACTAAACTATATTCTAGTTTAAATGAATTAATATTCATGCCTTTTTATATAGGCTTATTTTTATCCAGTCACTATTTAATTAAACTAATGAAAAAAAGAAAAATTTTACTAGCTAAACATTTTAGATTCAAACTATAAACTATATATCTAAGTATGATATAAAAGTCGGAAAACTATATCATATAAAAAGCTGTCATAGCTGTCATTTCCCTATGTAATAGGGTAATCGAAATTTTATCGTTGGCTTGCAACGTAAAGTTTTAACATTTTTAAGTTTATAAAACTAAAAAGCTGCAATTCAGATTATCAAATAAGAATATCTTAAATTAATCCCAATTTCTAAAAAATGTTTGCTTTTTCTGCAAAATTATTTACAAATTCTGGTCATCAGCACAGCTCACTTATGCTGGCTAAAGGACACTCACAGGAACACACACTCGCGCGCATGGACACATAAATACAGGCACTCATGCTGGCTTGACATGTTTTTACAGTTACATAACAAACAACAAGAGCAGTCGGCCCAGTTAAAAACCGAGGGGAGTGGCTGGCCAAAAAGGATGCAGGCAAATGTAGTGACAGTTAACATTAACACCAATACAAGCGTAAACATACGCTTACACGGTTGGGGGGAGGTGGGAGGTGATGTGAGTTTTTGGGGATTAAGTCAGTGTGTTTGTTCGATTGCATATGCAGGACCTCCTAATGAGCCGCCATTGCAACTGACTGCATCTGGATGCTCTGGATTGTTGTTGCTCACGCTGGTCGTGTTTGCCGGCTGTAGCTGCCAATTTTAATTGAATTAGAAAAACATAGATATGAGAGCAGCACTGCAACCAGTGCTCTAAATATAGAAGAACATATTTAATGTAATTCTATATTTTTTAATTTGTAATTTTTCATTAACTTCATAAAAAATAAAAGTCACTCACTGCCTTCTGGCTATTATGTTGCCCATAATAATTTTATAAATATTTAGATTCATTTATTTCTTATTATTGTTTATCTATTAATTATTGTTTATATATTAACGTAAGACAAAGACTATTAACCAAATTTTCTTTTTACAATTTAAAAATATATAGGCAATAAACATTGAAAAAATATTATTAATATATGGGATAAAACAAGATGTAAAAAATCTACAAAACTTCGCTCTATAAAAATGTACAGGTTACTTAAAAAAAGTTATTAATGAATTAAGTCAAAAATTGAATATCTTTACTTTTTTAAATAATTATTTAGGACTATTTTTTCAGTGCATGGGAAACATGCAGAAACAGGGACAAATGGACATGCAAACACATTTGAACGAGCCTCCTCTTTTTGGCCAACAAACACAAAAACACACGCAGATAATTTTACAATGTCACTCAAGCAGGTACTAAAGTTAATTACTGCAATTTCCGTGGAAAATTGTTTTATGCATTGACAGCATGTGGGTTGAACCACGGACTAACCATGTGTGTGTTTGTGTGGGCCCGCCATACGCTTATTTTATTAAGTGCCGCTATTTTTCGGTTACAGCTATTTTTATTGCTCCTGCACATGCGTGGGTGTGTGTGTGATTGCATTCCACTGAAATTTCAGTACCGTATTCTGTAAAGCGGGCGTAGGTCTCCAGTTTTAATTGTTTTCGGGGATAGGACTGAGCTAGCTCCCCATAGGGTAACAACTAATTTAGATGTCGGTCTGGCTGTTAAGCTTTTTAAATTGTTTCCGTGAAAACTAATATCGAAAATATTTATTTATACATTTAATTTATTGCTTATTGGCATAATTAAGCAGATTAATGCATATATGGTAAATAATTTACTAAAATAACCAAATTGAATGTACGATTTAAGACGTTGATTTATATCATTACTTTTAAATCAAATTTGGAATAAAAATACTTTGAAATTCAACAACAAAGTCCAACACTCTTATGACTTATAAAATTGACTTATTTAGTAAATGAAAAAAATTTAATATAATTTATTTGGCTAAAATGTATTAAATTATTAATAGTAGCATACTATTTCTTTGTTGCTTAAAGTTTATCAGAATTTAACCCCTTGTACCATAGAAAATTTGAGAATGAAAGTAGCATAATGTATGCATGAAACCCTTTTTTTTAAATCTAAAGCTTTTTATAATTACATACCTTGTACCTTTTTTTTAACAGCTGTTTAATTTGTTGATCAAACTATCCTTTTCAATGGGTATTGAAAGGGCATCAATCTAGCGACTTTTTGCTCGCCTGCACTCTTATGGCTGCTTTTGTTTTATTTTCAGCTGTTTAGTTAATGGTTTAGCGTGTTACCCGGCGCTCTGTGGCAACAATTCTTGTTTATGCGCCGCAAACATTTTTACCACCCTACTCATTCCCACGCCTGTTGCTGGCATTAAATTTTATTTTATTTCACTCAAAACCGCTCACCCATCGAATTGTTTGTGGGTGTAGTTCTCGTGTGTTTTTGGCTGTTGCCATGGCCAACATTGTTAACTTTGACGAGGGACTGCTGACGGCTGCACACGCTGTTGTATTTAAATAAATTGCAGCCCTCTTCGCCATTGCAATTGGAACGCAAATTGCGCTAATTTTGCTGATTGTGTAGTTTTTCCATTCTATTTTCCCATTTTTGGCCCCCGATAAGCTGCCGAGTTTTATGGCATTTGGCGCAGCCAACTTTTGATTGATATTGGCCAGACAGCTTCGGTTGGCCAGCCATCACAATGGATTAGATGCAATGGAAATACAATTAAATTGCCACTTTTAAGCTCGCTTGATGAACGAAAATTTAATATTTTACCCAGTTGAAAGAGTTAAATTTAATAATGCAAGCAAAATGTTGCCATCTTTTATAGAAATCTTGCAAGTTTTTGGCCAAGTTATCTGTCCAACTCGTCCTCCTTTCAGTTTGGGTATTCTCACGCCTTTTAACTCAAGTTCCTAGAGTAATTGACCTGCTTGGACAGGCGGGGGAGGTGAGGAAAGAGTGGAGACAAGTGCCGCATTTCGGACTTAGCAACTTTCACAACACTAAACCACTGAAAGTTGTTGACTTTATGCAACTTTTTCGTGGCCACAGACAACTACGTAAGGGTCTCTTCCAACACTTCAGACCGCTCTTAAACACCCTACACCTCCAAACGCCCACTGAAACCCCCCCACCCCTTGAAGGTTGACAAACAAGTTTGTTGTGCCTTGCATTTTTTGCACTCCAGCGACATTTCTTCTGCACAAATATAAACTCGATAAAGTGGGCGGGCCTGCCCAGTGCCCGAAACTGCTGGCGTCAGTTGCTTTTAACATGCCAACACACTCTAGCGACTTACGCATACACAGAGAAGGATTATAAATATTTCTTGAAGAGCATTAATACTAGTATTGAACAAACTATAATCTATTATAATATTCTAAACACAGTACGCGCCATTGAACTATATATTTTTAATTTGTTTTGAAATAGATTTTTATAGTAGCAGTTTTCTTACCAAGCTACTTTTTTCTATTAGAAATTGCGAATAATCGCTTAGTTTTAACCATTTAGAAATTTTTTGTTTCTTATGAAACCCTGTTTTTCTCTATGTAAGCATCGGTGCAAAACTATATATATGGTATACAGACAAGCTCTCACATATCTTTGTGTACATGGCCAAACGACACGTGCTGCAATTGAATTTGT